GGGAGATCTGAAGTTGAACCTCCAGAAGCGCAAACTGGAAATACAGGCATGTTTTCTGGCATCCTCAGAACAGCAAACCAAAGGCTGGCAGTTGGGGGTCCTATTGCTGCTGATCCTTAAATCTGGCTAGGCACCCTAAAATCCTGATTTGTGGCTCGCGCGTCCCTGGCTTCATGCAAATATTGTAGTATGACCATGCAGGGAATCGGCCTGAAGGTCATAGAGCTCTTTGTAGTTCTTTATACCTACGACTCTTCAGCTCTTCTTGTTTCCCAGGCCTGCTGTTCTGCTTTGCTGTGGAAGCAGGGAGAAAGGGTCGATGCAGGATCATCAGGGTACAGGATGCTGCTCCTGCCCTGGGGAATCGTGGGCTGGGTACCCCCAATGCACAGTGTAGAGGGTCAGCTGATGCTTAGCCAGACTGAGTCGGCGTCAGTGAAGTGGATCTCTCGAGGAGCTTTGTGTGGAGCTGACTGCTGTAATCTGGAACGCCCTTGACCATTTGACTTTCTCACATTCGGCTGTGTTGACCTTCCCTAAAGGAATTGCGTTCTCATCTGAGGATGGTGTGGTACTGGCTCTCGCTCTCTTGTTACATAGCTGAAAGTAATCGATAGCTGTAATTTGATGTGACCAATATCCAGTCTGTTGCTGTCACTAAGTTTAATAAAAATGGTTTGCTATTGCTTAGTGTCTTTGTGCACCTATACACATGCCTGATGTCTTCTCTGATGCGTGCTACATAGCATGTGTCAGAACAGACATCTGACCCATGTCTAGCTGCTAATTAGCATGCATCAGAGCAGACTTGATTAACGTAGTCCGCTGGAGGATGTTAATTAACACACTCCAGCAGCCTCCACGTCACATCTATTCAGTGTCCCCCGCACCTCGAAATGGTGGTGGGGGCACTTTGTCCAAAGCTGACCGAATAAGGTTTAGTTCAAGCACCCCCACTACTATTTTGAAGCGAGGGATGCTGAATACGTGCCATACTGCAGGTGCTTTAATTATAGTGCCTCTCAGAGTCGCTATAATTAAAGTGCCCCACTCCACCCCGGTAGCATGTGTACAGATGCCCATTTTTTCCCTTGCTCATTTAATAGCCACAAATGCTTCAAATTTCACCTACACCCTCTATTTCATTGCATATTTGTACTGCATCATTCTCTGTCTTTCCTTTTCTCATTTACCTGCTCCACTCCCTGTTCTGGGACAAAACTCAGCAGTATCAATGTAATAAATACATTTGGCAGAAAATGGAGGTGTGGTAAAACAGCCTGTGTGCTCTTTGCTTGTGTTAACATTTGACTTTGACTAAGCCCCTGTGTTAAAAGGGGTGGGGGTTGGACTAGATGACTTATTATGGAAGTGCCTTTCAGCCCGGCTCATCTGTGATCCTGTGAGAGGACCTGGCTGCACCGCACAGACTATTTATTCCAAGACAGCTGTGAAACATGTAGCTTGGTTTTTATCAAGGAGCGAACCAGCCCTTATGTGCTTTGGGCAACTGGGGTCCCTCTGTATCTTGGCAGGAGGTTGAATTGGGGGCAGCCGCAGCCCTGCTGGGAATGGATTTCCCTGGGAACCGGAGAAGGGAGGCAGCTGCACTTTGTGCCCCGTTGAACCTGAGGAGGCACTGCATCTTGGAGACAGGCACGGTCTTGTATGGGTCATGACATCTGGTCCTGCCCCTTTGTGCAAGCCTGGAGGTTCAGGGTGTGCATTAATGTCCTTATCTTGGAGTGCGAAGCCCTCTGATGAGGTTGGGATGAGTGCCATTCCCATAGTTGTAATTTCTCAGCATCTGGCGTAATGCCGTGACATCTGGGACACAGGTGGGTGGCACTGAAGAGACTGAACTGGGCCTTTGTAGGAAAGCTACCTTGCTGGAAGGTGGAGCTTGGCTGGTGTCCTGGCTCCTGGATCTCTTGGTTCCTGTAGCTCACATACAAGTGTGTCTTCATTGCGTTTCCTTTTTCCTTCCCACAGGGTCCTTGGTAGCAGGCCAGGTGACACAGAGAGAAGTGCCGGAGAATGGCCGTAAGTGCTTTGTTGCCCCCTTTGACCCAGGAGGCTTCCCCAGCTGGGACATGGCCTGTGACTGATGTAGCTGGCCTTCCTTCCAGCACGAGCTCCTGTAGTTACTTGGAGGAGCTCTGGCTGGGTATTCACGCTTAGCTGAGTGCATGTTTGCCAGGGTTCGCTAGTGCCAAAGGCCTGAGTGTGAGGCATGCTCCGGGCTGCCCCAGCTGTCCTGCAGGTACCTGGTCACTGAGGAGCTGCACGCGAATGCCATGGCTCCCATGCTGGCAGAAGTGGGGGGAGGCAGGGCTCGGGCAAGTCTTGAACCGTTTTGACCGTCTTGGGACTGATGGAGCACGGCTTTGTTCTGAGCTGGGGTCTGGGCCAGGGTTTGGACCTGGTCAAAGGATGGGGTTAAGCCACAGTGACTCTTCCCTCCTGCTTCAAAAGGAGTCGAAGGGATTTGAGAGCTCTCAGAAGGCTCCGAGTACTCCTTCCTGCCCAGCCCAAGTTTGGCTGGGCTTGCAAAGGTGCCAGAGAAACACAGGTCCATGGCAGGGTTTTCGGGAGCAGACAGGTAGGTCTGACACCTACCTCCCACTCATTTTTCCTGCTTGAAAAATCCTACTAAGTGCCTGTCTGCATCTTTAGGTGCACAGGTTACCAGATTTTCTCACATAGCGAGTCCCAGAATATGACGCTCACCCTGTTTTTCAAAGGAAGGAGGAAGAGAAAAGGATCTGTCCTGGTAGTAAGCGACTCAGTAGCCGCATGGAGGGAGTGGAGCCTGCCCACTGTGGGCTGGGTGCAGATTTTACTTTCCTTTTTGCCTAGGCCAGCTGTAGAAACTTACTGTATTTCTCACAGATGCCGTGCACTCCAATTCCCTGCAGCTGTTTTTTGTGTGTGGTTTTTTTTGGGTTTTTTTTGTTTTTTTAGAAAAAGGTGGAGCGAATATGGTACCTTTGAAAATCTGTCCCTAGGTTGCTCTGTGGAAATGCCCCTCTCTTTTAGGGGTGCCTTGTCCTGACCTTTCTAATTTTAGGCAGGAGCTGCTTTCCCAGTACTCGACACTTGCTGGCAGTAGGAGGGTGATGTTCTATCAGACCAGTGGTTTTCAACCTTCTTGGACTTGCTGGACTCGAGGCAGCCCTCCCTAACTCTTGTGAATTGAGCAGCACCTCATTAAAAAATTAATATATCTTGTCCAGTGCTAACCTCCTTGCAATGGGGGCAAGGGATCTGCCGGGCTCGGATATTATCTGTTTATCTCCTTGCACTTCGGGGCACTCCTCAAAGGATCTGGCGGCACCCTGCTTGAGAATTGCTGCATTAGATTAATCGATTCATAGATGTTAGGGTTGGAAGGGACCTCAATAGATCATCGAGTCCGACCCC